GTAGTTGGACGAAGTTAATTTATCCATCACTTGGTAAGACTGTTGTTGAGCCATAATTCACTCCCGGCTCCACGAAGCTCACAAGCAGGAAAAAAACTGTCCGTGCTCCCGGCGTGGCTCTTGCTGCACACAGGCAGTTCAGGCAGGCTACTCCCCCACTCCTGGAGAATGCGATAACCTCTCGCCCACAGACCTGGTCTCGCAGCTGCACACTCCGTCGTTCAGCACGGCTCACCGAAGCTCTGGTACTCTTCCAAGCTGGTCTCTCCCAGGCTGAGTTGAGTCCTCACCAGGGCTGGCTCTCAGACATTCCACGGGCACCCCGCTAGGCTGGTCAGGGACCCCGTAAGGCTGGGCCCATAACCCTGTCGCGCAGAGCGTGTGTAGTGGTCCCCAGACCAGTCTAAGCCAAGGCAGCACCTTAGCAGACTTTCCAGCCTCCCAGCTCTTACCAGTTCTTTGCTGTTCTGTCCCTCTATAGTAACCACACTGCACAGTCCAGTGGTACACTATATACAAGGGTTTATTCACAGAATACACAGACAAAATGCTTCGCCAGACACTTGTTACCTCCGAAGAGAGCGTACATGGCTTCTGTACAGACTTATATACACAGTTGCACCAATCAGCAACAAGCTGAGTCATGATGACTGCACACTGTCCAGTGCCAGCCATAACCGGTTAGAACAGGCTTATCAGTCCACCTGCTGAGATGTAGCTGTCACTGAACTGTCAGTTAGATCCTAATGATCTTCCTGCTATCTGATTAACATACAACACTCAAGCATCTGATGTTTTTTCTATGTGGCTCTAACGTTAAGCAAGTATGGCCACCCCTGATGTAGTGTATATGTTATGCCAATGGATTATATTGCAATTATGGTAATGATGTACTATGAAAGAGAGAAAAAATACAAGAAAGCAGAACATTCATCTCTCAAGCATCTGATGTTTTTTCTATGTGGCTCTAACGTTAAGCAAGTATGGCCACCCCTGATGTAGTGTATATGTTATGCCAATGGATTATATTGCAATTATGGTAATGATGTACTATGAAAGAGAGAAAAAATACAAGAAAGCAGAACATTCATCTACTTACTGTGCCATCCTATGCCGATATACGCCTTTCTAAGCCCATTGATTTCAGGGTTTGCACTGTTAAATTCTGTGTAGGACAAGGTCATGGAATGGAATGAGTGTTTGGGACTGGCTGGATAAAGGGGCCCACATTTATAAAGGTTGAAAGATTTTTCAGATATCAAGGAACTGTCCCAGAGCACAAACATGCATAGCAAAAGATCACCTGAATTTAGCGTGGTCTCATTATTGGTTGGATCAGAAATGAAATGTCTTGCAATTGAGAAAGGCAGTAACTGTGCTGTCTTACCTGAGTTGCTCTGCTGATCACTTTGACATCAACTTCTTTTTTAAGAAAAAGGTGATTCCCTTTCCAGAAGCTTAACCAAGCATATATTCTAACATTGCAGGGAACAGATACGTCAAGGCTTGGAGGAGCTTCAGAAAGTCCTGCCCGGAGGAGACACTTACATGCATGAAGGATTTGAAAGGGTAAATAAGACCCCATTTTCAGCACGCATAGAAGTGGACGGGAAAGAATACTGTCCACAAGGCCCTAGGTTGGGACTTTTAACCAGTATGGTCTCAGTATCTCTGCCTTGCTAATGATCATGTATGCTTCCATTTCAGGCAAGTGAGCAAATTTACCATGAAAATGTTCAAGGTAAGAATGAGCTAGAGGACTCGTAAACAGCAGCAACGCTTTTGCTTTCTTTCTTCTGCCTTGATGTTAAATCTGCTAAATCAGACAGGGTGTTGTTGTTGTTGGGAGACCCCCTCCAGGGATAAGTTCCTCCCTGTAAGTAGGATCTGACCATATGGTTCCCTGGTTTGTTGTTTCCTGTGGCAACCAGGTGTCAATCACTTCTGCATCCCCGCTGTCTTTCAAGACATATGAGGTTATTCTATTTATTTACAAAACTTTTTACCCATGAGCCTGCCCGAGGCATCTTACAAAATAAAAATAATAATAAAAAACATGCTAATTAATGCTAATTAAATTCTGCATTGGAGAAAAAACAGCTCAGCATAAAAACATACACCATAAAAACAGATCACAGACCGCTTAATTAAGTTTCCAGGCTAAAGTAGTATTTAAAAATATTGACCCTTTAGTTAAAAACCTGGGTGAACAGAAACGTTTTGGCCAGGTGTCTAAAGAAAGCCAGGTGGCCCTCAAGAGAAAGAGCATCCTGCAAGCAAGGGGTCATTACTGAAGAAGTCCTGTCTCTCGTTGTCACCTGCCTCACCTCTGGGGGGGACGGGACAGTGAGCAGGGCTTGTGAGGCAGATAAAATGGTGATCCCATTTTATCCTTCTTAGGTCCCTGCCACACGAGCGGAAAAAAGGATGGGCAAAGTGCAGCTTTTAAAAGCCGCACCAAAATAGGCACACGGCGGTGGGATCATACAGATCCCGTGAGCTGCCGTGCAATCGCTCCCCGGCATGAGCAGATGCCAGGGAGACTGGGGAGAAAGCCACGGGAGGCTGCCGAACTGCGCATGTCTGAGCATGCGCAGTTCGGCCAGGAGCCGAGGATGCGCCGGCGGAAGAATGCGCTGGCGATCCCACGGCCGGCTTTGATGCGGCCTTTCGGAAAGAACCACCTCGGTAGGTGGGTTCTTTTTTGCTGCGGGTTATCATCGGAAGGGCCGGATCGGGGACGGGCGTGCAACGCTTCCCAGATGTTGCGGTGGGATCGCGCCCGTTTGCTCCGCCCCCGATCCGTCCCTCTCCTGGCCCAAATCCTCTTGTGTGACCGGGGCCTTAGGTGCATTGTCCAAGTGCCTTTCTCAAATCTGTTGCCTTTATATTAAAGAAAATCCTTTCTTATGTCTTATACACAGCTCTTCCCCAAAACACACAAGGTCATAGTTTTATAGTATCTTAAAATAAATTTTTATCAGTTCTGGTTCTCCACTTGCAGAATCATCTGTGTTCTTCCTCGTCAAAAAGCAACTGAACACTGTCACAATGTATAATCCCCCCCCCTTTTCCAGAAATGCAGGCAATTAAATACACAGCTGGTCTTGTCAAATGATTTAAGATATGTTAAAGAGTCTGATAATTACAGCAGCTTTCATTTGGTTAGGCTTTTTTCCCTCTTGAGAAGATTATATTTAGCTTTAACAAAAGTGAAATGTCAGCTGCAATATGTGATACATGATTGCAGAAGTCGTTCAGATTTATTGTGAAAAGTTGACAGGAGGAATCCAAATTAACTTTAATTGGTTCTGTTTCAAGATGGCTGTGTGATTTTTAGCTGACAGATGACAAGCCTGGGCCATGTAGAGATAAAGATAACAATCTTCATGTGATAACGATGCATTTTGGCAGTAAATTTTCTCTCTACTGGTGGCTCGCTGTAATCTGGATGATGGCATGCTTGGCTCTTCTTCTCCTCCTCTTGGTTTGTGCACAGTTCTTTTATTGCATTGCCAGCTCTCATCTGATCAGGGGTTTCAGAGCATCTGCTGGCTGCTCCAAGGACCAAACTAAGGCTGTGGTCACACAAGCAGTTTGCACCAATGTGGTTGCATTACCATAGCAGATTTAAAGAGCACAATCAGACAACATTTGCCTTCTGTGCCCCAGTCGTTGGCACCTGGGTCCAGCCCATCCTGGAAGCGGAGTTTCCCAACACTTGGGAAAGTCCAGTCTTTATGTATGCCAGCGCTTCCACTTTGCTTTTCCCAAATGGATGCTGGATGGGAAGTGTGAATGGTCACTTCCGTCTCAATAGTGTTTTTTTCCATTTGGTAGGGATGTGCTTATAAGCCCCATTGCCAGCAAGGGCCGTGCTCCATGGCTGAGGCACTGCTAATGTGGATGCTTCAGCATGGGAGGAGCCTCTTCAGGGTGTGCTGTCTGGTCACCCCTTCCCACGATGATTTAAACTGCCTCAAATACAGGTGCCACCATATCGTGCCAAGCCTCCAGTGTGACCGCAGCCTGAAGTCAGAATTTCACAGCAGCTTTCACCAAAACCAGCAGACTAGTTCTCCCACCACCACCCCCTTATCATTTGTAGTACATTTGGACCATCTTCATTTCTTGTATTAAGTCATTCACTGGTTTCATTTTACAAAGTGAACGTATATTTTCAGGGTCTTTTGACAGTTAATCTGTAGTAAGTGATCCTGAGTGTGCCTAGAAAAAATTCCTTCTGGGTGAGTCCAAGGTTCAACTAATCCATTATTCTTCGCAAAAATACCAGCAAGGAGCAGGTGTTAAAGAGTGCATCAGAGGCTGGCCAGTGTTCTTCCAGTGGACCACAATCTGCCCATCCCTGGTCTAACAGAACTTCTGGCATTAGTGAAGTCATAGCATTCTGCACTTCCTCACCCCTGATCCTCATCATTGGCTGCCAGTGGCAGGGTGTGTGTAAATGCAGGCCATTCCTATCATGATATTAGGTGTGCTGTGGATGGGGGAAGTACTTCTTTGCTCAACAAATGATTAAAATGTGGAATTCACTGCCAGAATATGTACTGATGGTCACAAGCATAGATAGCTTTAAAAAGGAATTAGATAAATTCATGAAGGATGGCTCCATTTGTGGCTACTAGCCATGGTGACTAAAGGGAACCTCCGTGTTCATAGGCAGTAAATGCTGGAATATCAGTGCTAGGACACAACACTGGGAAAAGGCCTTGGCCTCTGTGCCCTGTTGTTGGCTCTCCAGAATAACTAGCCAGCCACTATGTTAGGCAGGATGCTGAACTATTTGGACCACTTGTATGATCTACCAAGGATCTTATTGTGTTCTATGTCAGCAAGACCCGCATTTACCATTTTTGGTGGCTGCTGCACATTTTCCGTGACATCTACTTTGACTCTGGGAGCCGAGGGTCTCTTCATATGCTATTCTTTTTAGGTGTATGCCTAAGATTTTTCATGTGCCTTTATACCTAAAAAAGTGGTCACTCAGTGGCAGACCCAAGATAGTTGCTGTGTAGTCTGTGAATGAAGTCTCAGAAACCACCTGTGAGAATTCTCATGCTACATGTTGTGGAATGCAGCATCGAGAATCAACCCCCCCCCCAAAAAAACCATACCCCTATTTGACTAGAGAAGATGATAGTGGGACAAAAGAAATAGGTGTATACTTTATATGCAACAGTATCTCTTCCATGCAATTTTATTTGGAGAAAACAACTACAGTCTGTCTGCAGGCTCTGAGCAGCTATATTCCATATGACTGGATATTATATTCCATTCCCTGCCCTGAACCTCATTAATAGAATGCATTCTGTCCTCTCAGGTTATAGGACAGCAAGCGTCATTATTGCGCTGACGGATGGTGAACTTCACGAGGATCTTTTCTTCTATGCAGAACGAGAGGTAAGAGGCTTGTGGGGCAGGGAATATGCCAAAACACCCATATGGGCAGCCCACAAGAAGCATTAGTGCAAAGGTGGATGTAATTGACAGGGAATTTTGTGTGTGTGTGTGTGTCTGTGATCAGAAAAAATTAAAAAGCTTTTTTTAATTTAAAATTTGTTATTGTTTATATATAAAATACTTGTTTATGAGGCTGACTTTTTATGGCAAACGACACAACCAGAAAACGTAGCATGTAGTTATACCCCAAAGTGGCAATTGTTCCTATTTTACAGATAAAGGATTTTCTTCTCCCATTCTGTTCCTCCTGCAGAAATCTGTATATTGAAATGCTGCCAACACTATGCAGGTGTTTCCATTTCAGTGTTGCTATGCAGAGTTTCCAAATTGTAGCTTGTATCTCCTTGTACTTTCACAAAGGATAAATCCTTATTCACCCAAGAAGTAGCTGTGGACTTCCATATTTGGGTATGATCAATCCATATATGTATAGCAGCAAGTGATGTTTCTGTCTCTTAATGCCAGGAAGAATCCAGGGAGACTAAACTGCACTGGCTCTGTAGATAGTCTTCTGGGACCATTCTAATTTACCAATACCTGCTTTTAACCAAAGCCCTATGCTCACTGTGCACTCTGGAAACCTCAGCGCTTATTAAAAACAAAGTCAAATCAAGACCATAAAAGGGCTTTATCTCTGTTTGTATCTTTCCTGCTCCCAGCCTCTTAGGGAGTTAAATTATATGTCTTTACCTGGAGCTGCGGTGGCTCAAGTGGTTAAGACGCTGAACTGCAGGCTGTGGAAGGTCAGTAGTTCAGCGGTTCAAGACCCGGGTGCCGCAAGACGGGGGGAGCTCCCGTCTCTAGTTCCAGCTTCTGCCAACCTAGCAGTTCGAAAGCAAGAAATTGCAAGTAGATAAATAGGGACCACTTCGGTGGGAAGGTAACAGCGCTCCGTGCGCCTTGGTGTTTAGTCATGCCGGCCACATGACCACGGAAACGTCTTCGGACAGCGCTGGCTCTTCGGCTTTGAAACGGAGATGAGCACCGCAACCCTAGAGTCGGACTCGACTGGCTTTCGAGCACGGGAACCTTTACCTTTACCTTTTTATCTTCTTGCAATGAAAGCCAGTGTTTTATATCTCTCCAAGTTTTTTTTCAAAAAAGCAAAGACATTCTTTCTGTGTAAAAACTCATTCATTTATCTTGTCTTGCTGCAGGAGAGAACTGTGTGGCTGATGGCATATCTTTGCACCCGTAGATCTCATGTGTTTTTTTCTGTCTGATTCTGTCTGGTGCTCTAAATTGGCATGTTCTTTTAGCAAGCCTGACAGCAGGACTGTGATTTCTTTCTGGAGGTTCAGACAGACAGGGGAACGTTGTCCAGACAAGCTAGAAGCCACAGACTGACTGTACAAGGGTTCATTTAACAGACAGATACAAGTAAAAAAGCAGCTAAAAACAGGCGATGTCTCGAGTACCGAAGTTTGTAAGAGAAAAAGATCAAAATAAATCTGTAAGCAGGGGCAGTCTGAGCCATGGGGCATCCAGGGCAGCTGCCCCCGGCACTGGGTTGGGTGGTCTCCCCAGCTCTCCACAGCCCCACCCCCACAGAGTGGGAAAGAAGCAGCCATGTGGGTACGCCTGCCTCTTCACATTCAAAGACCACTGGGTGCCTGATGCATACCCACGCCTACCTTGCTTGAGCCTGTCTGTCCAGGTGGGATGATGGTGGTGGCAGTGATTCTGAGGCCACATCCTGGACTTTTGTCTGCGGACCCAGAACCACTAAGTCTACTAGGGTTGCCAAATGTAAAATCCCTACCGGTGGGGGAGCGTCCAGCTGGTCCGAGAGTCGTCTTGACAAGTGTGTGCGCGCGCGCCGCCGGAGCGTCACCCGGAAGTGACGTCACACGCTGGGCGGGACCCGGACTGCATTCTCACGGCCTACCAGCAGAGGAAGCGAAAGCGCGGCGGCCCTGATGTCTCCTTGGCGGTGTCGCCTTCTACCGGGGGGGTTGGCAGCCCTAAGTCTACCCCATATGTAAGCTTTTTTGAGCAAGATGTTTTGGCAGTGCCCCAGAGCCCCTGACACATACTCCATCTTGAAATCCCCGAGGGAACAGGAACTGGGTTTTACTCCCAGGTTGTTCCAGGTGGTCAGCCATGTTGGTTTGAAGCAATAGAACAAATCTGGACTCCAGTGGCCAGAGCCAGTTTGGTGTAGTGGTTAAGTGTGCGGACTCTAATCTGGGAGAACCGGGTTTGATTCCCCACTCCTCCACTTGCAGCTGCTGATGTGACCTTGGGTCAGTCACAAGCTCTGGCACAGCTGTCCTTGAAAAAGAGCAGTTTCTGTTAGAACTCTCTCAGCCTCACCCACCTCACAGGGTGTCTGTTGTGGGGAGGGGAAGGGAAAGGAGTTTGTAAGCCGCTCTGAGACTCCAAGTGAAGGGCGGGGTATAAATCCAATCTCTTCTTCTTCTTCTTCTTTAAGGCCAACAAAGGTTTTTCAGTATTTGAAAACATATTCGTCTTCATGCACATGAAAGCTCATCCCTTGAATAAACCTTTGTTGTTCTTAAAGGTGCCACTGGAGTCTAAATTTGTTTTAGCCCAAGGTTGCCACAGAAAACAGTATCCCCATATGAACCCCGCCCTCTTCTCTCCTGTAATGGGGAGCCATTGAAAACGGTGCCACATTTTCCCTGCCTCTATTCCAAATCACTGGCTTTCTCTGATAGAGTGAAGCAAATATACGACATGACAGCTTTGTATACTGTTTAGAGAGATTAGGACGGGGGAGATCCAAGTAAAAGTCCCCACTCAGCCATGAAGCTCACTGGGTGCTTCACAGAGTTGTGGGGGTAAAATGCAGGGGTGAAAGCATGCCAGTATGGGCCAGTACAGACTATTGATAAGAAAGAAGTTGAAATGATACCTCCCATCTTCTGTTTTAAGCACACACATCCCCCGCTGCTGCTCTAAGAGAAATTTGTTACTTTTTCACCCCTGGGAAAATGGAGAGAGGGGAGACGCTTACAGTAAACTCATCAAAGGAGCAGCAGAGAACTTCCCTGAACTTGTCAAAGGATGAGCAGAATAAAAATGTGACAGATGATATAGTGTATGGCTGAGGTAAAATCCATTACTGTTCTGTCCCTGTGAAAATGAACCAATCAAAGGCAGTGTAAATGTTTGCCTCCACTGATTCCCCACTCCTCCACATGCAGCTGCTGGTGTGACCTTGGGTCAGTCATAAATTCTTTCAGAGCTGTTCACTCAAGGGCAGTTCTCAGGAGAGCTCTCTCAGCCCCACCTACTTCACACGGTGTCTGTGTGGGGAGAGGAAGGGAATAAAAAGCCACTCTGAGGTCCCGGTCACACGAGACGGATGATCCGCCACTGAAGGGCGGCAAATCAGAGCCGGAGCAAAAAGAACTGCGGAAGCGCAATCCGACGTGCCCCCGCGGCTCCATGCTCTGTGCCCCGGCAGCCGATCACACGGTGCGCAGCAAACTGGCAGTAGCGCGGTTGTGCGCATGCGTGGGATGGGGAAAGGCGCCGGCTGTGATGGCCTACTGGCATTTCCCCGATAACATGCCTTCCGTTGGCCCGCATCATCTGGTAGGTACTGCTGTTTTGCTAGTACTTTTTTGGTGTGCGTTTGTGGGCCAAAGAGATGGATTGGGGACGGGTATGTGCTGCTTCCCAGATGTTGCGGTGTGATTGTGCCTGCTTGATGCGCCCCTGATCCGTCCCTCTTGTGGATCAAATCCTCCTGTGTGACCGGGGCCTGAGACTTCTTCAGGTAGTCAAGGACAGGGTATAAATCCAATCTCGTCGTCCTCCTCCTCCTCCTCCTCCTCCTCCTCCTCTTCTAGTGAGAACTGCCATTTGAGCTACCTGCCAACTACAGCTCTGCACAATCCCACTCCACACTTACAGAACTGCCAAGAGAAGGGGAGGATCATGCTCAGTTATGCAGCTTCCTTCCTTAACTGTGGCTGTTGCAGCTGTTTTTGAAGGAGGCAGTCAAAGGCATGATGTTCTCAGGTTGATCCCTCCTTGGGGGGGGGGTAATCTTGAGTGTTCAGGGAGAACAACTTTTTCCCCCAAAGGAAAAGTTGCTCCTGCATCCCCTGAAATGTTACTTTGCTACAACAAACAAGCACCTCAAAAATCCAGTGTCACCACAGAGAGATGTGAGAGAGAAGGGCAGTGAGCGGCTGGGAGATTCTGTGAGAGAACGCCATACAGCCATCATGGGTGGAAATGCCACTCCCTCTGAATGTCCTAGAAAGAGGAGTCCAACATTAGGGAGGTTGAACCATGATGCCCAGAGCAGAAACCTCGCCCTCAAGGCAGGTCTTGGAAGAAGTTAGGCAGGTGGTTGTGACCTTTGTAGGCTGATTTACTGAGAAGTGATCTTTCCAGAGCACACATCTTGCCGTGGGTATGTATAGTACATAATTAACTGTAAGATGTGGTGACAGCCACCAGTGTAGATGGCTTTTTTAAAAGGGTTTAGACAAAAATCACGGAGAAGAGATCTGTCAACAGCTATTAGCCATGGTAGCTAAATGGAAGCTCCATGCGCCGAGGCAGAACGCCATTGGTATCCAATGCCAGATGCCCGTGACAAACAGCAGGGAGGGTCATCATCTTTATGCCTTGATTGTGAGCTTCCCAGAAACATCTGGCTGCCTGCTGTTGGAAACTGAATTTTGGGACAGAGGTCTGATCCAGCAGGACAATTCCTGTATTTGCCTAGGATTCTGCCCAAGGGTCATGGATCCCAGCAGAGCAGGCGCAGGCGGTGTTAGGGCTGATTGGATTAGAAGGCAATTCAGGGTCAGACAAGATTGGAATTCAGCCAAGCTGGATACGTTTACGAGCCCTAGAAAGAAAAAAAAGAATCAAGTGGGGATGGAAGACTGAGACATCACCGGTCTCATACTTTTAAACTTTGTTTTGCTTTAAAAGCCTTTGCTGTGAGATCATCCCAATGTGATGTAATGCTTTGCTTTCTGTAATTCTTTCTGTGGATGCACATAAATTTTATTCCAGCAGTTTATCGTTGTAATTGGTCCAGGGGCCATGACTTGTATTCCCTGGTCAATAAATCTACTCCCCATTCTTCACAATAGACTAGGCAGCTGGTTGCGCTCCAAGCTAGAAATCTTCCCTCTATTGTTTATTTTTTTCCGAAAGAATGGGTGGAGTGGGTGTCAAGGCCGGGAGGCATCATATCTGGATGATGTTGATCCCTACATTAATTTTGTAAAAGGATACGATCCCCACCCCTTTGTTGCCCTCCGGCCACTTAGAAGAAAACAGAAAGCAGAAACTTTAGGGAGAGCAAGACCGTTTTGTCAGACCTTTAAAAGGGAATTTAGCTGACAAAGTATTTAGCAGACAAAATGGTCAGAAATGGTTAGGTTTTGTTTTTCAGAATGAATCCTGAGCTAGAACCACGTGATGTCATGAGCAATGCTCCCTCTAAGCTGTGGAGTCTTGTGAGCAAAAATTCTACTTTGTGAGCTACTGGCATTAAAGTTGTGAGCCAGCGATTTGGCTACTGCATAAGTTAGTTTGCTGTGGAGCCATCCTTCCTGAGCTAAGACAAAAATGTGTGAGCCGGAGGCTAAAAAACTGTGAGCTAGCTCACACTAATACAGCTTAGAGGGAACACTGGTCATGAGGGTTATATCTTGTGCATAGTTTATTGACTTGTGCTAGGAAATTAATATTTTAATAAAGCTGACTGTGCATCTGCCCAAGATTGAGAATACCATTGTATCAGAGAGTTGATGGAGTGCAACTCTGACAGGGCAAATATTTGGAACCGCTTGGATTAGAAATTGGCATGAATGATTGACTGTGCCTGTGATGATGACAATGTAGGGATTGTGGTGGGATTTTATTTCCCCCTCCAAAAAATAGTGCTTCAAAGCTTAAACCATTCAAAGGCGAATATTGCTTTCGAAGAATAAAAACTAATCCTGTCCAGGGGAAAAAGTCATTTGAAGCAACATTGGGCAATTCTGCGCTGGCTTTTCCCTCCATTGTTTTACGAAACCCATGTTGGAACAGAAATTCCCCTTTCCATTGCATGCTGCTTTCATTTTCTTTGATCATCAGATTTTATGGTACCTTTTGCATAGATTTATGGCCGTTCAGGGGCGACCTTGCAGTCAGTACTGCATTGCCCTGAGGTATTTGAATGTGGTTTTGAGCTGCACTTTTCCCTTCCAGTTGAGAAAATGTGGAGCGAATGCCAGATGTAGAATCACCCATTGTTAAGAAATCTGAAATGGGGGAAACAAATCTGCATTTGCAAGAAGGGAAGAGGACAAGTCCGTGGTCTAGATCTTCTGCTGTTCATCTTAAGCTTCATGCTGAGTCAGACCTTTCTCTTAATAAAGCAGTTGTCAGATGCTTAACTGTAGAATCAGAGTGCCCTGATCAGCTCCTGAGACCTCTGGGTGACCTTAGAATTATGTCCACCTAGCGCTCCTTCTCTTGATGGTCCTGACAGAAACGGCTTCATAGATTCAGGGGTGGTTAGAGGCAAGCAGGTGGTATAACAAGGGATCAAGAAGAAGAAGAAGAGATTGGATTTATACCCCGCCCTTCACTACCCGAGGGAGTCTCAGAGCGGCTTACAAACTCCTTCCCCTTCCCCTTCCCACAACAGACACCCTGTGAGGTAGGTGGGGTTGAGGGAGCTCTGACAGAAACTGCTCATTTTCAAGAACAGCTGTCCCAGAACTATGGCTTGCCCAAGGTCATCCAGCCAGATGCAAGTGGAGGAGTGGGGAATCAAACCCAGTTCTCCCAGATTAGAATCCACACACTTAACCACTACACCAAACTGGCTCTCTAGCAAGGAGTCCATCCGTGAGCTGCTCAGAGTGAACAGCCAGGCTGGAATCAGCAGTTTTGTAGTGCCAGATGAGGATCCCTAAGTCACCAGATCAGCAGAGAGCTGAATGGAAATTGCAGTACCACCCTCTCTCCCTCTGTGCTGCTGGCATTATAACATAGCCAAGACCAGATCATGGATGGCTACCTGGTTCATCTTTGCTTGCTGGACGCCAGGGTGGTGCAGAGAATTAAGTGCCTTGAGTCCCCATTCAGCTCCCGGAACTTTACATGATTCCTGAGCGCACATGCCATGATATTATAAACGTTATCAACAAAGAGAAAAGTAACTTTAAAAGTAATATTATAATTTTAAACCCACAAGATATAACCTCCTACTGCTTACCTCATGTAAAGGCCTGGCAGATAAAATGGCTTTTCAGCACCTTCTAAATTTTTTTAAAGATGGCGCTCCCCTCACCTGCTCTGGGAGCCTGCTCCTGAAAGTGGGAAGTACAGTGGAGAAAGCCTGGACTCCAGTTGATGCCAGGTGGACTACTTAAGTGGAGAAACAACCCGTAGCTGGAGAACCAAAGTTGGCACACAGAGATATTTGGGAGGAGGTGGTCCTTCAGGTACGTGGTTCCCAAACCACAAAGGCCTTGAATGATCTAACTATATTGACAATTTACAATAATACTTCGGCAGAGTTCTCTGCAGCCTGATAAACTTGCTGGGGGGGGGAACACATTAAAAGAAGCACCATAGTGAAAATAATAATTGTTAGGTCTCAAAACACTGAGTTACACCTTTAACATGTTTACATCATTGCATTGTCTTTATCCTCTTGCTCCAGGCTAACCGATCCCGTGATCTGGGAGCAACTGTATACTGTGTTGGCGTGAAAGATTTCAATGAAACTCAGGTAATGGAGCCTTTATTTCTCTGAATGAGCTTTTGGCAATGATGCTTTTACGTGTGGGGTAGGTAGATTTCACAGCCTGAGGGCTACATCTGTGTATGCACCTGTCTTTGAGGGCTCCGGCTTGGATGCCGGCTCTTCCTGTTTCCAGCACCAGCAGTGCCTTAATGGCTGTTAATGGCACATAGCCCCTGAGTGGTTTAGCAGTTTTCTGGGAGAATCAGCCTGCTTACCTGACCCTGTAGTTAGGCGTGCTGATGGTTTGGACAAACTGTTGAGCAGCTTGAGAGTTAGAGGACACATTCCTTCAGGCCAGATACAGCTATAGCTTGCCCACCTGTGTTTTATGTGCATCTGAACATTGGTTGGTTGTCTTGAATTCCTGTACGGTCTTTTAGCAGAAAGGAAGAATAGTTAGGTATCTCAGATGTTTTCCGGTTGGAGACAGGTTTGTGTAGTGCAGTGGCAACAGAGCTTCCACGTACAAGGTTTTCCCATTGTTTCCCTGCCCTGGTTCCTCAGCAGTGGCCATTCCCCCTCTTCTCCATAGCCAAGGCTTTTTGCAGTTTGCTGCAGTTTCTTAAAAATAGCAGTTGAATATCATTATAACGATCTGTATATCAGGTTCTGTGAATTCCCAGCTTTCATTTTGCACCTTTTGTTCTGGAGATATGCCCTTACTCTAACATCTCCACAACAAAAGGAGGTTGCTACTTTTTTTAAAAAAAAAAAAGGATGAAAACTGGGAATTCAGAGAACCTGATATAGAGATCGTTGTATTATTATAATGATTTTCAGTTACTGTTTTCAGTTGCCACTTAGGTGAAGGAAACGGCTACCGTGGGGAGAGGGGCAGGGAAAATGGCTGCTGTGTGGGTGGTGGGGTTCTAGGCTTGCCAAGCCCCCGCTGGGGGCAGGTAAATTCCTGCCCAGGAGGCCCATTACCCGCCGGCGGCGGATCAGGCCCCGGGGGGAACTCCACCCCTTGCCGTAGGGCGTCCACAGCATGATGATGTCACCCGGAGGTGACATCATCATGCTGGCCACGTTGTGGGGGTGACACTCTGTGAATTGAGGAAAAACTCTATGGTTTTCCCTCGAGTCACGGTGCCCCGCCCCCAACGTGGGTGGCGTGATGATGTCACTTCTGGTGACATCATGGCGCGCACGGGAAGACTCCCGACGGAGCCAGGAATCCACCCGCTTTGCAGGTAAGTCGACTTGGCAACCCTATGGGGTCCCCAAATCCTTGCTGGGGCAGAAGATCCCTCTCCTACAGCAGGTGCTCCCCACCACTACTCAGCATCAAAAGGGGGGGGAACGCGCTGACATCACTACCCTTATGCTTGGAAGTGACATCAGCGTTTCACTGGGGGATGCTGGGAGTACTCAGGTATTTGGGCAAAACTCTATGGTGAAACCACAGAGTTTTCCCAAATGCTAGAATGACATAGGCTTTGTTGGGGATACACTGATGTAACTTCCAGTGTGGAAGGAAATGATGTCAGCGGATCACCAGTGAGTCCACCCTGCCCCTAACTTTCCCACCCACATAGCAGCCATCAGAAATATTGGAAATTGGCAAGGAAACCCTGGGAGGTGCCCAACGTGGGCGACGTTATGATGTCACTTCTGGTGACATCATGGCGCGCACGGGAAGACTCCCGACGGAGCCAGGAATCCACCCGCTTTGCAGGTAAGTCGACTTGGCAACCCTATGGGGTCCCCAAATCCTTGCTGGGGCAGAAGATCCCTCTCCTACAGCAGGTGCTCCCCACCACTACTCAGCATCAAAAGGGGGGGGAACGCGCTGACATCACTACCCTTATGCTTGGAAGTGACATCAGCGTTTCACTGGGGGATGCTGGGAGTACTCAGGTATTTGGGCAAAACTCTATGGTGAAACCACAGAGTTTTCCCAAATGCTAGAATGACATAGGCTTTGTTGGGGATACACTGATGTAACTTCCAGTGTGGAAGGAAATGATGTCAGCGGATCACCAGTGAGTCCACCCTGCCCCTAACTTTCCCACCCACATAGCAGCCATCAGAAATATTGGAAATTGGCAAGGAAACCCTGGGAGGTGCACAAATGCACCACAATACCATGGGGAAGTAGGAAAAGACCCACTTCCCCACAGCATCTGACCTGAGGCAAATAACCTGTGTTAACAGGGCCTCTGTTTTAATGGGGCTTTTGTTTTAAAGGACAGCTGCAAAAAAACCACAGATGATGTTGCATGTATTTTGGCACAGCTGTGTAGATGGCAATTAGAAATATTTTTTTAAAATACTTATGTGGATAATTTGAATAATAACCCCTGACAATAATTGAATGCTTTTTATCAGATATATAGAACCCTTTGGATGCACAGTTATTAGACAAAAGGGAAAGAGGTGGTGTTCTTAAAAAATTACGTGAGGGTCTTACAAAAAGAACTTTGCCCTGTCTTCAGTGCTGTGATTTGCTTTTGATGCATAGCAAATGTTTCTTTCTTGTTCATATCATGTGGCTCCTTTTTAATACCACTTGGCAAGCTGGTCCAGAATACTTGTTTTTATAAATGAAAAGGGACCCAGCAGCAAGGAACAGTTTTTATTTGCTAATTAACAGATTGGCTCTTAAACAGGATTGCATACAGGAGAAAGGGAACAGCAAGGAGTTGGGAAACAAGAAATTGTGTGGAGTGGGGAATTCAGATGGCAGAGAGGCAAAAAAAGAAGGGAATCTAAAGAAGCCGCATAGGTGCCAAAATAAGAGAGGCAGGCCCCCAGAACAATTGTCTTTGAAAACCCAGGCTCCCACTCTATGGAGTCTGATATTAACCTCGTGAACGACCTTAATCATCTTCTACCATGGATCTCCAGCACAGACTGTTTCTTTCTTTATTTGCTGACTTTATTTATAGCCCACCTTTCGATCTGAGACTCAAGGCAGATTGCAGGATAACAACAATTCCGCCATACAGCACAAGGCATCCAGTGAATAATGCCATAGGACTAGGACTGCAGAATCTGAAGACAATATGAATAATGCAGAGTACAGAATAAAAGGGAAAAAGCCCAAGGCAGTTATTACTATTATTTATTAAATTTATAAACTGCCCTCCCCAGAATTAAATCTCATGAATTAAACATGAACAATTAAGAACAATAAATCAAAAAACAATAGTTAAAACAGATAAAACAGTATAATTCCTCCAAATAATAGGTGGTGTACATATAGCTTCGCTCCATCCACAGGGTGGATCACATGCTTGGATTGGTAGGGCCAGTTGGAAGCCATGGTAAAGAACTGTTGCTGTCTTCAACTGGAGGTCTGGCGGAATATCTCCATTTTGCACACTCTGCAGAACTGAACAAGGAGATAAGGAGGAGTTACTAGGTAGAGAGTTCCACCAGGCCCGAGCCAGGGCTGAAAAGGCCCTGGCCCTAGTTGAGGACAGCTGGACATCTCTTGGGCCAGGGATTGCCAGTAAGTTTTGATCTCCCAAGCGTAAAGCTCTTTGGGAGGCATAGGGCAGTGATGGCGAACCTTTTAGAGACCGAGTGCCCAAACTGCGACCCAAAACCCACTTATTTATCGCAAAGTGCCAAAACGGCAATTTAACCTGAATACTGAGGTTTTACTTTAGAAAAAACAACTCATACATTAACTTAAGATGATCCAAACAAAGTAAGGAAAGCAATCCCAAATGCTTTCATTTACTTAAAATTATTTGGCAGAGAATTCGACACTTTAATGATGGTCTGGGCCTGGCTGGGGCGATGGCACGCGTGCCCACAGAGAGGGGTCTGAGTGCCACCTCTGGCACCCGTGCCATAGGTTCGCCACCACTGGCATAGGGGGTTAGGCAGTCCCACAGGTATGTTGGTCTCTGACTGTTAAGGGCTTTAAAGGTCAGAACCAAAACCTTGAAGCGAATTTGGTATTCAACTTGGAGCCAGTGCAGCTGGCGGAGCACAGGTCGGATGTGTGCAGTCATTGGGGTACCTGTAAGTACCTGCACTGCTGCATTCTGGGCAAGCTGTAATTTCTGGATCTGCTTCAAGGGCAGCCCCATGTAGAATGAGTTACAGTAATCCAGTCTTGAGGTGACTGTTGCATGGACCACTGGGTCACGGTTGAGGCTAGAGAGGTAGGGGGGAAATTGCCTGACCTGGTGAAGTTGGAAGAATGCCAGCCTGGCAACATGTGCTACCTGAACTTCCATTGATAAGGAGGAGTCCAGGAGCACACCTTGACAGTTGAGGCCAGTGTCAGTGGTGCAGTGTTGAGCATTGGGAGCTGACACCCCAACCTTAGTTGGTTGATACAGGTAGTTAAAGAAGACAGATGGGTGAGGATCTGTTAAGGCTGGAGACCGAGAGTTAGGTGGTGTGGCAGAATCACCATTGCTTGTAGAATGTGTGCTTTCCCACCCCCTTCCTGCCCCACTTTTGTCTCTGGTTAAAACAGACTTCCCAGGTTTTTATAGAGATTCAAAAACCTGCAAAGTCTGTTTGGTCAGCATATGGAAGTGGGGCAACAGGGTGCATATGCATCCCTTGATTATATTTCCTTCAGCACTGCTTAAAACTGGCCGAAGCTTTAGCATACTTGATACTGGACCAAGCTTTGTAGAAAGCCATCCTGAAGTCATTGTTTATTGGCTGACTTACCAAACTGTCTTTGCTGTTACGCCAGCTGGCACGGATCGCTGACAGCAAGGATCATGTCTTCCCTGTGAATGATGGCTTTGAAGCACTCCAGGGGATCATAGACTCTGTAAGTATTACTTGCTATTGTGTTCATTTTACGTCTTTGTAAAATTAGAATCACTGCAGCCAAAAACTACATTTATCTACAGTCTGCGATGCCTCTTGTGGAGAAAGTAGTAACAGGGTCTGAGCTGGAGAAGAAATGGAGAAGGGTACAAGACAGACATTCCGCTGGAGACTCCAGGGAATTATTTGCCCAGAGCAAAGAATGGAGAGTCATTTATAAGGAGGTCTTTGGATGTCAATGATGTTGATAGTTTTCTGCGCCCAAATTCACTGTTGTTGATGAAGTATCCTGAACAAGCAGCAGGGCTGGAAATATTTGTAGTGGGTCTAGGGTTGCCAATTCCAGTTTGAAAAATTTGTGGAGATTTGTGGGTGGTGCCTAGGGAGAGTGGAGTTTGGGGAGAGGAGGGAGTTCAGCAGAGAAGTGTTGCCATGGAGTCTGCCCACAGAAGCCACCATTTTCTCAAGGAGAACTTGTCTCTGTTTACTGGAGACTGGTCGTGATTCTGGGTGATCAACCTGGAGGCTGGCAACTCTAAGAGAACCGGGTGGGGAGGGGTTTAACTGTGCAAGCTACTGTACAATTAAACCAGTTCTGAGTATGATTTAGATGTGTATAATACTGCTGTCTGAGCTTTTAAATAGGGGATGTGCTGTGCCATTGAGCCTTCTGGAAATGAGTTGGAGTATGAGAGAAGTAGCGGGGAAAGCATTTGCATTTGTCCATTTTATCTGAATAAGAGAGCATCTTTTGTTGCGGAGTACAATCTTGTTTCTGTCTGGCAGCTCGTGGAAAATGTGCTCTGTTTAGAACACAGAAGCTGGTTGGTATCTGGAAACCCAGTTGTTAATAGTATCGTTTTGTCCTCCCCAAGGGACACAGTAATCAAGTCAGCGAGATGAATTGCTTCTAGCCTGTGCTTCTTCCACCATCATTTTGCACCCCACTTGGGGCTGTACCTGTTGTGATGTTAGGAATGTCCCCTTTCCTGCTTGCTCGTCCCTGCCCCCTCATTGTACAGAAAAGCTGAATGAACCGGTATGCTTTTATGATCACTTGATCCTTCTCAACTCTATATTTTAAACCCATTCAAAGTAAGTTTAATCTGACAAGGTCAGGGAGATCCTGCGTTCAAATAAACATGCGATCTTCCAGTTCAGTTGTATGGTGAGGGCTCATGCATGTCCAAGACCTGCTCCTGATCTCTGCTGGTGAACAATTATAAGAGTAGGAGATATCTGAACAGGAGGACCGCAGAACACTTAGTGTGGTTCCTTGCAGTGCAAACTGGACCCCAGTCTATACTCCTAGCTTTCCTAACTTTTCATCCAGCCTGAATTGTGTGCCAAATTATGCTGGACCATCGGGTGTTCTGCAGTTTTAAAGGAGATTTGGTTCTCCAGCCGCCATTCTCTTTGCAGCTGTTCTTAATGAATTCCAGAAGAGTTTCTCTTTCTCCTTGTCCTGCTCTGTTGCCTGTATTTGTGTGTGATAAATCAGAAAATCTCAAGCTTGGGCAGCTTTATTTAGAACCGAGCTAGGGTTTGGTTGGCTGCTGCTAAGTTTAATAGCAGCAATCAGGGCAGAGAAGGGTCAGTCTCATGATGGGAAGGTTAGGAGAGGAAAGTTGCCACATAGCAAGAAATAACACACGTAACTTCCACATGGATCTCTTGCTTTTCTCTCCCCCTTCAAATGGCAGCAGTTTTTATCTGAGCTTCCAGATCACACTGTCATACATTAGCCAGATTTCCAGGTTTCCCCCCAGTTCTGCTGTTTCCCTTCCTTGGAAGATCAAATCCAATGTGGTTTTGGGGAAAGAATAAACAAGAAGGAGAAAGATGGATTTCCCTTCTGCCAGATCCATCTTTATTTTCCCTCACACTTACCTTTCCCTCCCCCACTTCAGCTGGCTTTTAATTTTTTGTTTAAGTGTTATTCATAAATATGTTGCTAGAGTGTTAAAACATTACAGTGATATTCCTGCTACCAGTGATTTTTAAAGGGGGAGGGAGGGACAGAAGAAGCAGGACGACAAGCGCAATGAACAATTCGTTTCACAATATTTGCTTTATCTGAGCGTGTAGTAATCCCAATTCTTATCAATCACTACTTATAAACTCCTGAAGGAAACAGCGATTAGCAGTGGAGACTTTATGTTTGGCTTTGAGAATCCAGCTAATACATTGTGAAGACCTTGGGTTCTGTTATTAGAGAGTCAACATGGAATGTTTCCTTTAGGAGTTGATGAGTAGTGATTGATAAGAATTGGGATTGCTATACGCTCAGATAAAGCAAGACCCTGGTCAGACGTGCTGGAAAACGCGGGGGGAAGCACGGCTATTTGTACCATTGCATTTTGATGCACTATTATGCGATCAGACATGATGGTGGCTTCCCCGCGGCAAAGGACGACGGGGGAGAAAGCTGCGCATCGGCGCGATCACACCCAGGGAGTCCGCATGCAGCCCGTGGCAAACCATTTGCCAGTAGGTCATCCCAGGTACTTTTTAAATGCGCATCTTCGGCGGGACGCCTTGGGTTCGCCACGGATTTCGGCGGGACGCCATGGGTTCGCCACGGATGCGCTACTCCTCCCAGATGTTCCGGTGTGATCGTGCCCGGAAAATCCGCGGTTCAATCGTGCCTTCAGCACAGCAAATGCTCCGTGTGAACGGGGCCCAAATATTGTGAAACGAATTGTTCATTGCACAGTATTTGTTAGCATGTGAGCGATAATAGAAGAAAAATTTCTACAGAAATTACTACAGTAAATATTTTTGCAACATATCTTTATTGACTCTTCGTTATTTTTGTCACAGATGTTGTTTTTGGAATTCCTCACCCTCCAGGTGGTGGCTGGAGATCTCCTGGGATTATAACTGATCTCCAGGTGACAGAGATCAGTTGACCTGGAGAAAATGGCTGCTTTGGAAGGTGGACTCTATGGCATTATACACTGTTGAAGTCCCTATCTGTCTGGAGATCAGCTGTAATTCAAAGAGAATTCCAGGCCTCACCATGACATTGGGAACTCCAGAGAAGTGGCACTCTAGGTACCACCAGGTGGTTGCTAGATAGACAGATAGATCGCTAATGCCCAGAAAGCCACCATTCTGTCTTCTAGGGTGTGTACCTCAGTAATAGATCAACCAAAATCTGAAATTTGTCCCTACACTGAAATAACAATAATCATTTATATCTTGTATTCCATGCTTAGATTCAAGATGGATCACATGGCATAAAACCAATGTCATCAGACAGCATACCAATAAACGATGCAATGAGGCCAGGATTACAAACGTTAGGGGGAAATGCAAAAAAGAAAAAGGTGTCAGTCATGATATATTATAAATAATGCAGAAAACAGAATTACAAGTAGGAAACAGAAGAGTGACAGCAGGATAATACAAAATGGGTAGCCACTGCCACAGGAAGTGGTGGCAGCTACAAGCATGGATGGTTTCAAAAGGGAATTAGATAAGCATATGGAGCAGAGGTCCATCAGTGGCTATTAGCCACAAGGTATAGATAGGGACTCTGGGGCAAGTGATGCTCTGTCTTCTTGGTGCTTGGGGGGTGTGTGTCAACAGTGGGAGGGCTTCTAATGTCCTGGCCCCAGTGGTGGACCTCCTGATTGCACCTGGTATTTTTGGCCACTGTGTGACAGTGTGTTGGACTGGATGGGCCTTTGGCCTGATCCAACATTGGCGTCTCTTATGTTCTTATGTTCATGTTAGTCTGCCTGTAGCAGTAGAAAAGAGCAAGAGTCCAGTAGCTCCTTAGACTAACAAAATATGTGGCAGGGTATGAGCTTTTGTGAGTCATTGTTCTGATGAAGTGAGCAGTGACTCACGAAAGCTCATATCCTGCCACATATTTTGTTAGTCTTTAAGGTGCTACTGGACTCTGGCTCTTTTCTACAGCAAGATAATACATACACTAAAAACTTTAAAAGGCTACAGTTCTCCTTTTATAAAAAGTGTCCTCCAGAACTATTCAATTATACTAAAGTTGTATACCCCTTATAAAAATGCCTTCCTGAACAATTCAGTTCTATACAGTCTGTGGAATGACCGAAGTGTGGGAGCCTTGCTGACCTCCTTGGCTATTCTGCAAGGTGCACATCTACAGGCCGCTATTGATCTTACCCACTTGCAGGGTGATACCTTTAGAAAGCTTTGCTCAGATAAATGCAGCTGTCACATCAGAGCATAGCAGGAGAGACGGTCCTGCAGATATGTGGGTCTGAGGCCATGAAGGGCTTTGTTGGTGTTTGCGTTCACATAAAAATATACACATATTTTGAATACTGTGTCGCAATGTAGTGGTCTCTCTTCTTCCCTGTGTTACACCCTTCTTTTGCAAGGCTCATTTCTGTGACTCCTACTTTCTTTATTTTTCTCTCTTGCTTGCTTTTTATCTCTGGCAGCTCCTGTTTTCCTGTGTCTGGACTGGACTCCTCTGTTGCTCTCTTCCAGGTTCTACCTTTACTTCCTACGGTGTCAGTTGGTTAGAAGAACATAGGCTTGTGTTTTTCTAAGTTCCTTGGTGCATGTCCAGGCCCTGAGCCTCTTTTCATCTCTGGAGACTTTTAAGACGATATAGTGGGCCTAATTCCATCTACACCTTTTGCAGGCAGGTATTTAGGTAAACTGAGAGGCAATGGCTGTTATATTATTGGTCCTTTCCCCTTCTTTTCTCTTGGAAAAGAGAATTTGTCACAAGTTGTTGTTGTTTTTTTAATATAAGCACTGGGTATAAGTATTTGCTTGTAGATCTGGCTTAAGCACTACATTCAAACAAACCATAAATTATTTCTGATGAATGAACCTGTAATATTTCTAGAGGGAGAGATTTGGAATGGTGGAGGCAGGGATGTCTGAACTGTTTTTCTCCCCCTGTTTCGGTGAAGATCCCTTATGTGCAAAAATACATTTATATACTAAACAACATATAGTTGGTTGCCCCCAAATCTGCTTCCTACACTGGCTGCCTCACACTAATGTTACTGTCCTAGGAATGTTGTCATAGATCTAGGGGTGTATCTAGCTGTCTCTATAGGCCTCCCACACAGAACCAGCTTATGGGTGACCTTTTATACATGTTAAGATGAATAGTCTAGTCAGCTTTCGAGCTGGCACCTCAGACAAGGTGTACTTTACCACAGGTTTATATCCAGGCTAGTAAAGTTGCCTGTTCAACAGAATCTCAAGGGTAATTAGTGACAGCAGAGTAATTCTAACCTATCGGCTGGGTGAGACATGGGCTGTTTTTGCACACGTTGAATAATGCATTCCCAATTCATTGTACAGTTGTTGGAAACTGGATTTCCCATTAGCTTCCCACGGGAGGAAAGGATGGCGGCTTGGGATGCATGGAAAGAGGATGCCTTACTATCACCAGATGCATTGAGAGTACATTATCCAATCATGAATCCCAAGCCGCCATCCTTCCCTGCCTTGGGAAGCAAATGGGCTGGGAGAGTAGCTGGCAAATGGTCCGTGGCATTCCAAGTGCCTGCCTAACATGGGTATTTTTTGAGGAGGTAAGACACTTCTTGCCTTAGTCCTAGAAGGATTTTGCCAAATGTTTTTGCCACACAAAGAGGCTAAAATTGTTGCTGTGAGAGCAACACATGAAAACAGGGGGTGGGGGTGTGTGTCTACCTGTGCCGTTTCCTTAGCCTGAGTATGATTTTGCTGTATAAACAGAACTCTGTATCTTACTGAACAATGTCATCAAGAATATTTTTCTCCCCCCCTCCCCCTCCCCTGCAACCTCTAGATTTTGAAGAAATCTTGCATTGAAATTCTGGCTGCAAAACCTTCTAGTATCTGCGCAGGAGGTAAGTTTAAACCAGATTCTTCCAGCACTCATTGCCTCGTATGCATGCGCTTCTCTCTTGATCCCTGAGGGAATGCAGATGCTGGAGTCAGCCATCTTCCTGCTTTCCTTGGGAAATTTTCCAGATGGAACTTGGCATGAAATGCTAGAAAATTCCATTTGTTGTATGTCTGCTTCTAAGAAGTGATCTTGATTTGATCTATATTAGGAATGTGTTATAGTTTTTACTGTGGGACCTGAAAGGCTATGGAATCTCAAAAATCGTCTGTCAGATTCAAGAATGCCCATTTGCTGAATATGTTTGTCATTCAAGAACCCCTTTTGCATCCTTTCCCCACTCCCCATATGCCTCATTTTTTACCTCCAAATCCACAAAGAGTTATATTCCAGTCCCGCATCTTGCCTCTGGCTCATTCAAATATTTCCCCCTTGGGAACAGACTGGAGGCGGGACATAAGCTCATGTATCTCCTTCCTTGCTCCTCTCATTGTGAATGGGGTGGGAATAATGAATGTGTATGGAGTGGGAATAATGAATGTGTATGGCCCTGGGGAGGTCCTAACAGATTTCACATTATAAATAATAGGCATATAATGGTGCCTCAGCAGTATACATACCTGGCCAATAGCCAGGGGGAGTTGAAAGACTCCACTGAGCCTTGTGGAAATGCCTTTTTGTGCTTAGGGCTCTGTGCATTTGGAAGCGATGCACTGGAGAGCCAGTGTGGTGTAGTGGTTAAAGTCTCAGACTAGGATCTGAGAGTCCCGGGTTCGAATCCCCACTCTACCATGGAAGCTCTCTGGGTGACCTTAGGCCAATGATACGCTCTCAGCCTAACCTACCTCACAGGGTTGTTGTGAGGATAAAATGGAGGAGAGGAAAATGACGTAAGCCACTTTGGGTACCCCTTGGGAAGAAAGGAGAGGTATAAGTGAAGTAAATAAATAAATAACAGCCAAGAGGGGAAGGGTTTCATGGAAGAAGAGAAGAAAATTGCCTTCTGATGACTTTGTCTTGCCCAGCTTGGTGGAATTGCTTTCGTCCTGCTTACTACACTGAAGTCATTGCAATTATACTGTTGTGCTTCTGGTACAAAAATGCTGGGACCATTTTCACTTTGGATGAAAACAAGGGATCTCCATGGACTGCAGATTGTAGGCGGGTCTTGATGTCCCAGCTTCTGGTTCCTTTGTCAGGACTTCTTTAAACATATCACCACCTACTAGATTGATGAAACTGAGGTCCCAACTAGGCGTTACAGTGGCCATGCATTTGACCTGTGCTGCCACCATTGTTTTAGGGAAGAATTTGACTGAAAAATGCTCTGAGAGCCTGATCCTGATTAGGCCCACAGTGTGGCATGACCAGGCAATCTTGTCCACCCCCACACCTTTTCAGATACTGAAGTGCATTTTTTAAATGGTCAAATTTACTTGAACATCAGGTGATGGCTTGCACACATTAATGGGTCATGCATAATTCTGCAGGTCGTAAGATTTCCAACCTAGCAGCAGTTGTCAGTCCATCTGTCCAGGGAGTAGGAATGGGGGCTGGTGACTGAGCAGGGATCAGTACAGGGAGCTGTCCAAAGGACTGGCAACCTGGGAGGCAGTCAAGAGCTTGGAGGGTCATCAGCACCGGCACTGTCCAAGTGCAGGACTTGAGCATGAGCAGGTTTCCGAAGGAGATGTTGACTCAGCAAAAGCCATGCTTGGACTGAGGAGTCTTATGACGCTTCGCTTCGTTGTCCCAACCTTCCTGTTGCCCCGAGTGGGGATCCAGATCCTGTCGAGGCTTGAGATCAGCTCCCTCATCTTGAATAGGACCAGGCAATGAACACATGAAGCTGCCTGATTCTGAATCAGACCATCAGTCTGGCAAGGTCAGGTTTGTCTACTCAGACTGGCAGTGGCTCTCCAGGGTCTTTCACATCACCTACTGGCTGGTCCTTTCAACTGGAGATACCGGGGATTGAAACTGCGACCTTCTGCATGCCAAGAACATGTTCCACTTGAAACTGCGACCTTCTGCATGCCAAGATATGTTCTGCCACTAAACCATTGCCCCTCCTCAGCAAGATATCCCAGGCTGCCCGGCAACCCCTCCCTCTTCTTATACAGGCTTCTGCTTAATCTTGAAGCCTCCTTTGTCAAACACCAAGTCCAGAGAAATCATGGGCTGTGCTAGGCATCTGTGACCCAGTTTCATTGGCTGTGCTTTGGTACTAGTACCAAGTCCAGAGAAATCATGGGCTGTGCTAGGCATGTGTGACCCAGTTTCATTGGCTGTGTTTTGGTACTGGTCCAGCAATTGCACTACGCTTTTGAGAAGTTTCAGCATTTAGGCAGAGGTTTACTGTTAGGCATTTACTGCAAAGCAATGTTGATTAGTGCAGTGTACACAAGTGCATCAGCAGAGTGAGGGATAGACTGGGAGGAACTGAGGAGCATCAAAATTGCTTCTCTGTGTGAGTAACCGTAAGGCCCTGGGAAGCAACTGCAAACCCTGGGGTTTATATAGGAGGGGAGGTGATTGGCTCCTCCTGATCACCAGGTTCCCTGGTTAGAAGCGTTCTGTCAAGGGGCTTCCGCCTTGAAGCGCTGGCAGTCACTTCCCCAAACCAGTTGTCCTAGAAGGGCACTCAGATCTCTACAAAACTTGCACAGACACAGACGAAGGCTGTTTTTTCCCCCGCTTGCCTCTGTTGATGGAGCACCTTCCACTTCCCTGTTACTTTGCATGCTTCCTCGACTGAGCTCACCGGCCTGCAGGGATAGATTTGCCTGGATGGTGTGAAGCTGATCCTTCTAGGACAAAAGAAATTGAGGCTTGGAGCAAAGCCCAGATTCCTGAGTCAACTTGTATTCTTTGCACAGCTACAGAGCAGCAGCCCCCTGAGGCATGTGCTAACAGAGGCAATGAGTGGGTGGCGTCTGCTAAGTGCCAGGGAAATTGTTGATTCAGCAGAAAATGGGGTCACTGCAAAAGACGTTTAAAGTGATAACCCTGCTGTCTCCTGATTGCCTGTTGATTTCAATATGCTTAATTATATGTGTTCGAGAATAGAAAGTGTGGAGAACAATTCTAAGCATGTCTACTCAGAAGCATGTCTATTCAGGGCTTATTCCCAAGAAGGTGTTTTTAGGATTGCATTTGTTAATCTCGCCCTTGAAAGTTTTCTTGAGTGCTTTTAGTCTTGCCATTTTGCAGCTATTTTTCTTTCAGTGTAGTGCAGTCCTCTAGATCTGTACAGCTGCAGCCAGAAGGCCCAGTATTGATGGCTTTGTGGTGTTGTCCTAAGTGAGGCAGGCTGATCATTAGTTACTGTCATGCTTCCCAAGCAGTAGGGAGATTCAGGGCCAAACTAGGTGTGATGGCAGCCAGGGGGTTTGACCCTTGGACACTGCCACCATTTTAAAGGGCGTTAAAAATGCTGCCAGGGCCTGAACCTGTTCTCTTGTTGCTGTGCCTTTTCAAATGCTGAAATGGTCAGGGGTATGTGCATTTCAGCACTTGAAAAGGCATTGGGGGGAACACCTCAGCCCACCACTCTACAGGGTTAGTTTGGAGGTTTGTGTCTTTTAAAATGTCTGTACAATTGCAGATAGAGACATGGAACTTGGAGAACTGGGAACCCCTCCCCCCAGACAGATTGTGCTAACTTTTAAAAGTGCAAGAAATGGGGTCCCCTTTCAACATTGCACCCCTAGCTCCTTCTTGCAAACCCCCTCAGATCTCTAGGATTCTAGGCAGAAGAGCAGAAAAGTAAATGTGACATGTGCTTCTTGCTAATTATGCAAATGAAGATGAGCAGAAACAAGCGTGTATTATAAAATTCAGATTTGCAAACTTTAAAAATTCAAGCTGTATAACAGCTGTGTCGCATCTGGGACTGCTTTGCAGAATGTTCAAAAATAACTTTAAAAATCTATGCGGAAAGGCACTTGGAACAAACATTATCTATTACATTTTTATTCTATCTGTCCTCTGAGCAGTTCACCCTTCCCCCATTTTATTTTTACAACAACCCTGTGAAGTAGGGTTAGACTAAGAGAAAATATGATTGGCCCAAAGTTATCCAGCAAGCTTCATGGTAGTGTGAGGATTTAAGTCCAGATGTCCCAGATGCTAATCTGAGTCTCTAACCTCTACACTATGTTGGCGTTCTCCATCAATGAATTGCTTTAAAATCTTCATTAAAGATTTGCATTTATTTCCACTAATAATATGAACGAAAGTTTCTGTAAGATGTTGCGCTTTACTCTCATAGGTTGAACAAAATAGATAAAGGCAATAAATACAAATGCAGGAGATCTAATTATCCTCCCATGGACATAATCTATATGTGTGCAAACATCTTAAAATGCAGTAATAGTAAGCCAAGTTTTTACAAAAAATGAACCAATTAGCAGCTAATTATTTCATGAACATTAATGGTTTCATTAGGCATATTAGATAAGATTCTGCTGAAACACAATCTTTGATTTCTGGAGTAATGCTAAAATTGCATTTGCAAAGAAATTTTTTTAAAAAACCTTAATGGGTGGTTAACTTGGAGAAAAGTCCAGTTAAAAAAAGAATGGATTGCTAAGGTTTGGCATGTGGTGCAAAGGTCACAAACTACTGAATTAGGGGAAATAAAAAATGGAAGGCAAAAGAGAGAAAATTATTGCCATGTTTATTGATTTATAGAAAAAGAATCAATATAAATGTTTATGAGTGTTTTCGAGGTCTGTAATGTTAGTTTAAAACTTTTCTTTCTCCGAGATTTGAATTGTGTTGAAGACACAATTTTTCATGGCTTTTTATTTTTCTATTTTTAAAAACGTACAAATAAAAATATGGTGAGAATTCTTTTTCTTGGGTTTCAGAATCATTCCAGGTAGTCGTGACAGGAAATGGATTCCGGCACGCCCGTAATGTCGACAGAGTCCTCTGCAGCTTCCGAATCAATGAGACGGTCATTCTCAGTAAGTGGCTGGTTCTGGCTGCTGCACCCTTGGGTGGGTGATGCTTGACTGTGTTTGTTGTTTGGCAAGCAAAAGAGCTCAGGGCCAGCTGTGGTCAAGGAAGTGGCTGTGGGTCGTCTTGAGGAGGTGTTCGATACTGTTTGAGGGCAACACAGATCTTTATAATCTTTGTGCAGAACATGAAGATATGTACAGCATCCAGTTCAGGTCCTTAGGAAGCCCTTCTTGTATATACACACAGAGTGACATATGCCCCTACCTGTCATACCGATGCACATTTTGCTGCAAGTTTCCTACAGAAGGTAGGTGTTCATGGCACTGATTGGGCCGGCCTCCATGATGTCACCAGGACAAGGTGACGAATTAAAAGTCATGTGTATGAACACCCCTATGGGACTTTTAAAAATAAAAAAGTAGGCAGCCAGCCTGAAGCATGGGGGTGGGAAGACCAAGGATAATGGCTGAGCCCATGTTTGACGCTAGTAGTATACTCACCTGCTGTTATAACTGTGTTGTTGGACAGAACCTAGCGTCACCTTATAACTCAGGAAACACCCCCCAAGAGCTTTCTTTTTATGTTACCTTGGTCTTCAGCCTAAGAGTAAACACGCAGGACACCGTAAAGGAATAAGTTTTATGCCAGTTAGAGGTGTGATCAGAGGTCATTTCGGGGGAGGAACGCGGGCGAACGCAGTTCCCCCGGGTGAGGTGCAGGGGGGCGGGGCACATGACGAAGCCCCGCCCCCTGCTTCCGGCCGCCCCACTTCCGGCCCTCATTCAGCCAGGAGGAAGCAGGAGAAGAGGGAGGGTAAGTTGCTTCCTCCCCGCCTCTCCCCACCCCTGCCTGCCTGGGGCCAGGGAGGGCCTTTGCGGGGCTTCCTCGCACTCCCGCTGGCCTTGCAGGTCCACCGCCAGGCCCCTGATGTCAGGGGGTGTGGCATATGCTAATGAGTTATGCTAATGAGTTCCCCTAGCTCTTTTTCTACGAAATGACCCCTGGGTGTGATGATTGACCCCATCATGTGAAGGCTTCAACACATATCCAGGATGTGACTTGCCATGTGCCAAAAAAATATTCACAAAGCGGATCTAGCCAAAATGGGGTGATTTCAGCAGGCAGAGAACTGTGAGTTAATGTAAACAGCCAAGATGTGGCAATGAGCTCTGGATGGATCTTTTGATGCTCAGAATGGCAGCTAAGGAGCTTTCAGCTGCCCAGCACAATGTGTGGCTGAAGGCTAAAAGTGTTGGTTGTATCAACTCAGAGCAGCATCTGCATGGGCAAATCCTAGTTCAAGAGTGGGTGAGCCAGGTGCCAGCAATACTGTCCCTAACTTAGGCTGTGGTCACACACACTAAATAATCCACTTGCAATCTACTTTCAAACTGGATTTTGCCAGTTCACACAGTAAAAATCCAATTGGAAAGTGCATTGAAAGTGGATTATTTAGCATGTGTGACTGCAGCCTTACTGTGGATCTTTTGGAGGACGCAGCATCCTGCTGTAACAGTGGGATGTCTGGACAGGAATCTTCTCGGCAGCACAAAATAGCTGGTTGTGGGGTCCATGTGTGTTGCCTGTTGTCTAGTTAATGAGTTAGCTATATTAACTATCACCTGATGGAGCAATCCTAAACAGAGTTAAACCATTCTAAATCCTGGGCTTAGAAGGATATAACTTTGATTAAGTTTGCACTGTCATGTTGAGATCACACACGCTAAATAATCTACTTTCAAGCCACTTTCCAACTGGATTTCGCCAGTTCACACAGTAAAAGTCCAGTTGGAAAGTGCACTGAAAGTGGATTATTTAGTTTGGTGTAGTGGTTAAGTGTGCGGACTCTAACCTGGGAGAACCGGGTTTGATTCCCCATTCCTCCACTTGCAGCTGCTGGATGACCTTGGGCAAGCCATAGTTCTGGTCAGAGCTGTTCTCTCAAGGACAGTTCTGGAAAGAGCTCTCTCAGCCCCACCTACCTCACAGGGTGTCTGTTGTGAGAAGGGGAAGGGAAAGGAAGCCACTCTGAGACTCCAAGTGAAGGGCGGGGTTTAAATCCAATCTCCTCCTCCTCCTCTTCTTCTTATTTGTGTGATCGCAGCCTGTCAGCCACTTGAATGGTTCTTCACCCTTTAAATGTACCCTGCTGCCTCTTTTATGCTTGGAATTTCCTCCTGGAAGACATACGGGTTGCCACCTCTCTTACTTCTATCAACCTCCCCCTCCAAACTCACCTTTTCCGAGAATCCCCTCAATCCTGATCCTTACCTGAAACTGCATAACCACCTTTGTGTGCATTCATCCATGGTTACTTTCCTTTCCCTTTCCCCCAGTGTTTCTCCCTTTCTTAATTTAAATCATAATTTCCCTGAGATGTGTTTTGTTTTTTGCTGCTCTGGCTGTGTTCACTGATGCCACTATTATAAATAATTATTCCAAATAATAACTGATTGCTTGTTGCAATCAGCATTTTGGATTATCATGGCTCTGGGCAGGAGGAATTTGAATAATTTTGAATTCTACTGTTGAACCAACATGGTGAATCCATTTATTTTTTGACATGATGGATTTGAGAGCAAGGATGCTCTTCCAAGCAGGCTGTCTTTCATTAGAGCATGAATCCTGGCCAGATTCCAGCTGGGAGTGGTGAATGAAAGGCACCCAGTCAGCACATGCGCTGGGACTTCTGCTAGGCATCTCCTGAAACTTGCAGCTGGCACGGGCTTGCTGCTGGCTGCTCAGTTTCTTCCTGCAATTAGCTAGGTCTCTGAACTGGGTGCCCACTCTGCCCAGTGGCAGGACGTGTCCTGGATTGGCATGAGTGGTTTCTCTGGACATGCCAGCTCTGTCAGCTTCAGCTACATGCCTGGCTCCAGAGCGGCCCCAGTATCTCTTGCAGCACATCCTACTGGGCAGAGATTCCTAAACTCTATAAATCCCAACAAGGCCAAGGGACAATATTGCCTCGGTATATTAATATCAAAGAGTAATCATCCAGTTCTAACTTGGGACATGATCTGCTTTTGATCAGTATATTTTTAAAAAATACATTCAATCAGAAGGCCAAGCCACTGTTTTTTAACACTCACTTCTGGCCTTGAGCTGGACAACATATCAAGTCTTCTTGGAGTTGGAGGTGGTTGGTGTTTCCCGAGAATTAATGGCAGTGCACCAAAGCTGTTTAGATTCTATCTGGCTGATCTGAAATGAACAGGAAATGTCTGTGAGGAAGCAGCTCCTGAAATCTCAGGGCTATTGCATGAAAGTCCCAAATTTGTCAGCTGAAGGGCAGGAGAGAGCCTGGCTCTGTGTAGGAATTTGTTTAATTGAAACCAGTTTTTTTATTCCGCTTCTCTTGCCTTTTGAGGTCGTGTACAGAATCCTAAAATAAAATAGCACAATCCCAAAAATATTAAAAGGATGGAGTATAATTTACCTCACACTCTGATGCTGCTATCCTGGGTATTTCTCTGCACCTGCTGCATGTAATTGGTTGCTGGACAGAGAAATGCAACAGGGTGGCCTTAACACAGGGCTGCAGCAGCAGGATGCCTTCATTTCTTATAATATGCCCTTCGGTCATCTTACCCAAACATGACCAACCAAACCCACTCCTGATTCACTTCTGGCAGAATTCAGTGGCAATTTAGGGATGCGTGAAATCCCCTTGCCAATTTTGTCAATTTTATCAAGGCCTTCTTTGAAGGTAAATCTTACAAATGAACATCATAATGAGCATAACATGATTAAAATAAGATGCTGACAGTGCCATCCAAAGCAGAATTATACCCTTATAAGTCCAAAATGGCTGCTACAGGAGGCAGAGCCACACACACACAAAGAGGAAGTCCAAGTGTACAGGAGAAGATGGGTACTTTAAAAGTACATTGGGAAAGAGGAGAGAGAGAATAAAACCAGCCCTGTGGTGGCAGCCAGTGTTCCCTCTAAGCTGAGTTAGTGTGAGCTAGCTCACAGTTTTTTAGCCTTCAGCTCATACATTTTTTGCCTTAGCTCAGGAAGGATGGCTCCAGAGCAAGCTAATTTATGCAGTAGCCGAATCGCTTGCTCACAACCTTAATGCCAGTAGCTCACAAAGCAGAATTTTTGCTCACAAGACTCCACAGCTTAGAGGGAGCACTGCAGCTGCCACCTAAGCAGAGGTCATTTCGGGGGGGATCGCGGGGGATCGCAGTTCCCCCGGGTGAGGTACGGGGGGCAGGGCACATGACGAAGCCCCGCCCCCTGCTTCCGGCCGCCCCGCTTCCGGCCCTCATTCAGCCAGGAGGAGGCAGGATAAGAGGGAGGGTAAGTTGCTTCCTCCCTGCCTCTCCCCACCCCTGCCTGCCTGGGGCCAGGGAGGGCCTTCGCGGGGCTTCCTCGCACTCCTGCCGGCCTTGCAGGTCCACCGCCGGGACCTTTGTGGGTGAGGTGTGTGGCCTTATGACACACTTCCGGTGATGTCAGGGGGTGTGGCATATGCTAATGCATTATGCTACTTTCTGAAAACACTTGGTCTATACCAGGAAATATGTTAGTGGGTGCTGTGGCATCTATGGGGATCACACTGGGGACCTCTGGTGTAACTGCTTAGGTAATCACTGTGAGGCTGCATACTGACCTGGGAATAAGCATGATCGAATTAAGTAAAAATGCATAGGATTGGGCTGTAAAATCAAGAGCACCACAGCAAGTGGGCAGAGTGTTGACATTGACTTCTGGATTTTTAACCTCATGTAACACTTCTGGAATATGTTAAATCAATCCCAGTAATTTCCTGAGAATACAGCTGGCTTCTTGTAAACTTGTGCCTTGCGCTGTTTGAGTTACTATGTAGAGGATTTGGAACTGACTTCTGAAATTAAACAACTGTCTTGGGAATTCGTTGCCAGGTCAAAATAGCAGGAGCTGTGCTGACTTCTATTAAACTGTGTAACCGTTTGAACTAAGGGACTGGGATGGGCACAAACCGGTTCACGAGCCTAAATTCGGCACAAACTTAGCC